GTACGGTACAGCAGGCGACGGCTCCGCGGCGCGGTGCCCGCGCCGGAGAGGGCCTAGGCGGCGCCTCGTCGCTCACAGACGTGGAGCGGAGCGGGGTCGAGTGCGGGAGCCTCCTCGGAGTCTTGAGATAACCCCGGCGTGCGCGGTCCTGCAGCGAGCGATAGCTAGCGCCTGCCCTCATGCCTTTCAGTATAGAGACAGATTTCTTAAATGTAAAGTCGCCAGCTGGCTTGGCGTGGCTCTCGGCTGCTCATGAAGACTCAGACCGCATGGGCACTCGCTGGGACTGGGAACAGCTGAGACAGCCTCGCCAGCCTACCCATCGCGTGCTGCACCAGGGACTTCGCAGTCTACGAAACCGCATACCTGCGCGCCTGGGGACACAAGGGGAGACAAGTGCACACGGCGACCAAACCACCGCCCACTGAGGCCAGACCAGAAAGGACAAAGTTAAGGGAAAAGTGACTCACTGCGCCTCACCCACATCTTCAGAAACTCAGGGCTCGTGACAGGAAGCCCAGATGCTCTCCCATGCCGACTATCCCTCCCCTTAGGATAGAGACACCTCCCCAGAAGGACTCGTAAACTCCCCCAGGAATCTAGGGCTCCTCAGTCGCAGACGCCCTCACACCCTACTCGTGTGCTTTCCCTCTATAATAAAGTCCTACGGTTTGGATGTTTCTTCTCTGTCCCTCTTCCCTTTTCACTGAGCGGTGCTCACCACTTGCAGACTTCCCTTGGTCCCTTGAAAGGTTCTCCTTCAGGGTTTGACCAAGAACCTGAAGCTGCTGTCCAGTAACAAAGGTACCAATAGTTTTGTCCCAACCTTCTGCCACCTCTGACTCCCCACTTGCTTTTGCACCATCAGTGCAAATAACACGGTGAAAAAGGCAGATAACAATTTATTATTATTGTGAAAACAGTTTTGACATCACAGACCCTTAAAAGTCTCAGAAACCCCCTGGGATCTGTAAACAGCACTTTGAGAACCACAGCCCTAAGTCTACTACCTTAGAAAATTCTAGGAAATATAATACATGAGCACACTTTCCAGTAACCTTCCAACAGATAATGTTATGTATCCTATAGTCTGAAAAATTCTACTGTATACTCTTGAGCGAATATGAGTGAAAAAGGCAACTAGGATCTTAGTATCATGAAATTAATTGTGACCTCATGGAGCCCCTGAGAGGTTTTCAGGAACCCCCAGAGGTCCCTGGACCACTTTTTGAGAACCACTGGTATAATGGAAATCCCACTGGCCTCAAAAGACTGCGCCAGCACCTCGTGGCCTGCCTGGGGACCGACAATAACAAGCAATACACACTTAAAGTTCAGTACAGAGTGCTGGCTGGTTCCAGGAAAGTGAGCAGCAGCCCCAACTTCTGCTAGGATTTGTCTTTTGTAGTTTTGCTATCTATACATATTCATGATGTATAATGAATATTCAATTAAGGGGGTGGTTCCCAGTTATGTAACATTACTCTTGCACATGCTCAGTTGGTTCCTGGGGCATGTTCATTGGTCAGGCCCTATCACATGCAGCAGACATGAATTCAAGAACTTCTGTGTTCTCTTAACACCCCTAGTGGAAGGTCATCTAACAGGGTTACATCACCCTTCTCTACTGAGCATGCCCAGCCACTGAATTTGCATAAACCAGCTCCTTGTGGTCTCTATTTCCCTGTGCTGGTACTGAAAATAGGTCTAACTGGCAACAGTAGCATTCCTTTACGGGAGGGCCTAAAAGAGGGGTCTGAGACCTTGGGAAGTGGCTTGAAATCCAGAGGTGTGTCCTGAAACCCCAGCCTGGGGAAACAGAGCACCTCCTTTCTCAGGCTGAAAGCAGAGCTCTGCACCCATCAGCAGGTAAGCTGTACCTGAAGCAACAAAAGTGGATGCAAGAGGTGTGGAGTGAGACTGGGAATGGGCAGGCTGTGGATTACTGGGGAGAGCTGGTGGATGAGATGGGCAAAAGTGAGTCCCTGGAGAGGAACTCTTCACAGGCTTCTGTGCTGGGGTGGAGAACAACTCCTTGGTACCTGTCCTGTCAGGATCGAGTGGTATGAATTCAGAGGCCTTCCCTGCTCTGGTCCTTCTAGAGCCCCTCTGTTTTTCTCCGAACAGACCCTCTGCTCAACTGGGTGGGCCAGCCTTCTTGCTGCCACTTTTTGCCCATTTCTTCTCTGTCTTCATTTTTCCTCTTATTTCTGTCTGGAATGTGCCCCTTCTTCTCCAGCCATTTCTCTATCAATATATCTGGTTCAAAGTTCAGTTTAAGTTTCATTCCCTTGGTATATTCTCCAAGTCCTCCCAAGAAAACAGTGCTCTATTTTTCTTCCCTAAACTATGAATATGCTTAGAGTTAATATCACATTTAATGGACCTTGTTTTACTTCATATTATTAGTTTAATGTTAAGTAACTAGTAATTTCTTTGAGGTCTGAAACCGTATCTTAATGTTGTCTGTCTTGTCATACATGTGTATGCATAGTAATGGGAGAATAAATGCCCACTGAGTAAACAATGTTTTATGATGGTAGATGTTACTGGTGCCAGGACTCTTTCAATGTGTGTGGCAGCTCAAGATATCAAGAGTAACAGCAAGAAACAGAAAACATGAGGGCTTTCAGATCTTTAGTTGTTTTTTTTTTCTGGCTTGATGCCAGTGAGATACCACATGAGTAGATGCTTTCACATGTAAGGAATCGTATGCAAAAATTTTTATAAATAAGACAATATCTTTTCCAGTTTCCTTCACTCTTAGCATTACTAAATAAAATTTATGGGAGGCCATTGTTCTGGACTGAGCTCCCGTGCTAGGTCCCAAAATACCAAACCAAAATGGAATCACTCATGCTAAGTAACACATAATTAAACTGAAACTTTAAGAAAGCAGTTAGATCCCCAAACAGACCAGTTTTTTCTGAAAACATGAGATTCACAGCAACCAATCTGAAGGGGCCCAGTCAACCTGCCCAGTGCAATGAGGAAGTCCCCTCTACTTAAGTCCTTACAAGAAGTGACCTGATGTTAATCCATTTTCTTATTCTGCTTCCTTCTTCCCACCTTACAAAAACCAACTGTTCTGCCACGCCCAGCAGAGCACTCATTCCATTTTTTAGAATGATGCTTCCCAATTCTAGAATTGCTAATAGAAGCCAATTAGATATTTAAACTAAATTTGTTGTAATTGTTTTCTTTTGACACCATAAACAACTCACAATCTCCTAAAGAACAGCTAGAATCCTTAACAAAAAGGAAAGAAGGAAGGATTCCTATATTTGCAATTTAGATGGTCTTACTTTCTCTTTGATTTTGTGATTTATAACATAATTAATTACACTGACGTTACCAAATGTTATGGACTCAATAACATACTAACATACCACAGTATTTGCATTCCAATACTCTACTTTGAAGACTGTTATGCAAAATGTTGCCATCAGATTGTGGACAATGATATCTCTGTCATGAAGTCTTTGCATTACATCTTTTTTTTTTAGGCTGTTATGGTTATCAGCACCACGCTCTAATCAACTGAGCTAACTGACCAGCTTATTTGTATATAATCTTGATAGATACAAAGAAATGCAGGATTCAGAATGCACAACAGAGGAGGTCCATTATGCACGCATAGGCCCTTTTATGCAATTCAGGTTCCTGTAGCCATTTGGTTTTAAGTTGTTCCGATTTTTTAGCAAAGATCACCGCACAACAGAGGAGGTCCATTATGCACGCATAGGCCCTTTTATGCAATTCAGGTTCCTGTAGTCATTTGGTTTTAAGTTGTTCCGATTTTTTAGCAAAGATCACTGCAAAACTGATTCAGAAATTGGTTTCCATATGGCTACTATTAACATAAGAAGAGACTTAGGAGTTACCCTTGTGCTCTGTGACCTACGAATAGTTACTAAGTATCTTGGAGCTCTTCTTTCCTAAGGTAGGCACAACAATACCTCACTCAGTATTACTTTTAATACTGTAAATGCTTGTTGGGTTAGGAGTTATGTGGTATTACGAAATAAAGATATCAGCTATGTGGCTTAGAGACGTATAAAGTTATTCACAGTATCTTATTTTTTCATTTACATGTGCTTTCTGTCGGCAGAGACAGTTTTCTAACATCACTGTAACATCAGGTTTACAGTTTATGTTTGGTAGTTCACTGGCAACATTCTCCCCCTAATAATTACCTCATTTTGTAAGAACCTAGGTTTCATTATCTCCTGATAATGATTAGACATGAACACAGGGGGAATAGTGTGAGAAAGTGGAGTTGTGTTGCAGAATGAAGCCACCTGTGAGCATGTGAGTTAGCTGAACATGATATCGTGGTTTACAAAGCTTTCTGTCTGCTACAGCAGAATGTCTTGTGCACGTTAGGTGCTAAATAAACTGTTTCTTAAAGGTGTGTCTCAACCTGCAAACGCCTGAAAATGACTTCTCTAAGGAGTCAAATACCTCTTCCTTAGAGTTCATCCTGCAGAACTGTTCCAGTGGTAAGCTTTTATTACCACACTTCTGGCAGAAATAACTTCACGTTTTATTCCACACACTTGTTATTTGCATCTCCAAATATAACGTTAAGCCGTTTCTTGCACAACACGCATATTACCGCTTCCTGGATCTGCACCCCGAGCCCCACTGTTGAAGGAAGGCGCAGGCCCGGTGGCCCACCTGGAGGGAAGGGCTCCCGGCCGGTTCGTGTCTGCGTGGGGGCTCCTCTCGCGACGCGCTCGCACTCCAGCGGTGCACGGCTCATCCTGTCTCCTCCCAGCCAATGGTGAGCAGACATCTCAGAGGGAGCCGGTGAGTCATCTCCTGCAGACAAGCCGAGAGGTTCGCGGTCCGCCTCCGGCGCCCAGCGGCACGACCCCACGGGGCCCGCCGAGCTGTGACACGGCCGCGCGCGCGCCTCTCGACCCCCGTCCCCGGGCCGGAGCGCGGCTCCCGGGCAGATGGACTCGGACCCCGCCCGAGCTCGCTGCGGTAAGCAGCGCCGTCCCTGGGAGAGTCCGCGAGCCAGGGCTGCGGGAGGGGAACTGTGGGATGGGGAGCGCTCCCTCAGGGCTACGGGCCGCGGGGCACGCCCTGGGTTCTACGGGGTGGGAATTTGCGGGCCGGGGGGCACTCCTTGGGGGCTCTGGGGTGGGGGCCATGACCCCGGCCTCCTCATCCAGGCCCCCGGAAGAGAACGCCGAGCCCGCCCCCCTTCCGAGGTGGCCCGCCTCGTCCTCTCTCGGCCGCAGCTCCGGCGAAGGGCAGCCAGGGTGCGGTGAGCCGACGGTGCTGCCGAGAGAGGGTCTCCCCGCGCGATCCTAGAAGCCTCGGGGCCGTTGGGGGGACGCCGGGGTGGGACTTCCGGCGGTGCCGGGCGTGGGGAGGAGGTCAGGGCGGGACTTCCATCGGCGCCGGAAATGCGGGCGCGCCGGGTCGCGGGGTCGCGTCAGTGCGGAGACAGCCGGTGTCCTGCGCGTCGGCCGGGTGGTCCTGGGCTCCGTGTCGTGGGGGCTGACGTGCTGAGCGCGACCCGGGCTGGCTCCGGGCGGTGGCGGGAGCGGCGGCTGTGACGGGTGAGTGCCGCCATCTTCCCACTGGTCGGGCGCCGCGTCCTTCCCGGGATGCCGGGAGGAGGGGCCGGGGTGCGAGAGCGGTGGCGAGGAGGACTCGTGTGCGGTGGGGTATGCGTGAGGAGGGGTCGGTGAGGAGGAGGAGGGGTCGGGGTACGGGTGAGTCGGGGTGCGGGTGGGTCGGGGTAGAGGAGGGGTAGGGGTAGAGGAGGGGTGCATATGATCAACATTCATGAAATTAACCGTTTGAGTGAGTGTTTTTCCTTTTCTGGAATGTTTGAAATCCCAGCAGATGTGAAACTGAGGGTAATGTTATGTATTTTTTGTTTCAAATGAAAGCATAAATTGATTTGTTGTATTGCTTTTTAAAACCACTTTGGTTGTTTGCCTTTTTCAGATCATATGCACTTAGAACTATATAAGTTATTAGATTCTTCTAATTAATATTAGAAATATTATAAAGAGCCTTTTGAAAAGAGCAGAAAACTAAGTATTCATTGATGATATTTAATATTACAGCATTTGGAAGGCAGGGAATTCAGTTTGTTAACACAAAGGATGTTTGTGGATTTCATTAATTTGTTGACTCTTTGGCCAGGGCCTGCTGTGCTGCATCAGAGCTGTGTGGATGTGGCAGCTACCTTGCTTACGAAAGGTGGGGAAAACGAACGTGTGTGGCAGCATACCCAGGCACAGGAGTTGGGAAGACTCTTAAATCAGTTATTTCAATGACAGGATAGGAAGATTGGATTTTTGGAGGGGACTATTTATAGATTCTTGAAAGTAAAATGTCCTCTTGGTTTTTTATAAACGTTATTTACATAAGTCTCTGTTTAATGTGGTGGTCTGTCCTATGATACTGGGTAAATGTGAATATTTTGGAAGAAGATAATTATCTTTTGGTATTTCAGGTTTGTTTTAGTTGGCATTTAGGTGAAATAGTGCATAGTGGTTGAAGTAGCTTATTTTAGAGTTATTTGGTTATTTTTGGCGGCTGTCTGGAATAGGGATCTGAATGTGACCTTGATGTAATAAGGCTGTGCTCTCACCAAGTGAGCTAAATGGCCAGTCCTAGAGTTATTTTAGAGTGAAGAAATTTTCTTCACTCTGCAGTTCTGTGATCAATTTACTAAAGTGTTAAATATTAACAGACTGTTATGTGGATTGGGAACCCTACCTCACAGGGTTGTTGTGAGGATTAGCGATTCTTCATATTTATTGGTCCATTTAAGCCTCACAGCAACCCTTTGTAGTAGTTCTTCAGCCTCAGGTGGACTTGACAGTGCACTGACTTTCTTCCACTAATTCTTCGATTCAGCTTCCCTTCTTGTCCAGCTTCCACGGTGCCTTCCGTAGTATGACATTTCAATATTCCTTTTATGAACACCCGCAACTTCCTTGCCTCTCTTTCCACAATACCAATCTGAAAAACCCAAACTTGTTTTTAAACATTTAAATAAGATCTATGCTAATACACATGGCCTGAAATGAAGGCAGTATTGCCTGTAGCCTGAAGATAGTGTACTTCTTGGGCCAAGAACTTACTCTCCATGTAGCATCTGGTGTGAAAGGAAGGAAGTGGTGATAGGACCAGTACAGACTGCTGAGAATGAAGGTGGAGGATGTGAGCGCAGAGACAAGAGTAAGATTAGAAAAATTTTGCAGGAAGAGATTGTGCCAAATAGAAAGATTAACAACAGGAGGGGGAAAAAAGTATAGAAGAGGTTAAAAAAATGCGGAAGCTACAGACCTAATTTTGGGAGAATATTGATAGGTGAACTATAGTGAAGAAGTAATAGGAAGAAGCAGAACTTGAATTAGCCAGGAAATCTTTTAGTGTTAATAACTCAGTGTATGTCATAGAACTTTTGAACACATCTTTGAGATATGACTTCACAGAGTTTAGAAAGCTACTAAAAGATAAAAATTTCTCCAGTATGAAGAGTGTCCATTTGGTGCCAGGTTTTGGGAAGTAATTGTTTGAAATTCATATATTTGGTTGGAAATTGATCAATGGAAAAAGGTAGCCAATATATTAACTTTTTTGTGAAGTGATGACCAAAAGCAAGCGAGGCCAAAAAGAACATCATGTGATTTATGGGGAGGAGGAGAGGAGGGTTGAAGGCTCAGGGAAACACAGGTGTGGGGATTTGAAAATCAGTTGTGAAGAGGACTGCTTATTTCCTGTTGAAGACACGGGGGCTGAAAAAGCCAGTGGTGTGATTCTTGAGATGAAGTCAGTGAACCAAAACCTACAACTGTGAGGTGAAAGGAGGGACACAGGTGTGGGGATTTGAAAATCAGTTGTGAAGAGGACTGCTTATTTCCTGTTGAAGACAAGGGGGCTGAAAAAGCCAGTGGTGTGATTCTTGAGATGAAGTCAGTGAACCAAAACCTACAACTGTGAGGTGAAAGGAGGGTCGATACTGCAATTTCTGCATTTTTTTATAACTACTTGTAGAATCTTTGGAATGTGTTAACCATCCAGTTTATACTTATCAGAATGTTTCCACATGAAGTTCTCAAGAGAGGTAAGGGAAGCCCTTTACCATTTTTAGAAAGATTTGCTTGATTTAAATGTCTGGAGATATCTCCTTTTTTCTCTGAAACCATATCAGGAAGCTTTCACAGACTTTTGATACTTTTTTTCCTTTCTAAAACATACTTTGTAAACTGTAACATTTTGTAAAGAGGTAAACTTCTTTATAAACAGGTAACTGAACATTTTTAGTGTGATAAAGTAAAACTTGCTTTCTTGTTCCTATTTTAAAATAAGGCCTACACGTATGCAATTTGAGAAACAAAAGATGATCCTTGGCTTTGTACTTATGGAAAGATGGAGTAGAGATATATTTTTTATTCCAACCATTAAGTACAGCTAAAAACACTGGATTTTATATATAAAACAAATATAAGACTAAAAAGGTGGAGAAAAGAAAATAGACTGGTCAGATACATTGGGACCTGAGAAATGACAGAGCTTAGTTCCCTGGGTTTGCTTTTTGCCTCATTTAGCCCAGACTTAGTGCTGGAGAAGCTAGCAACCCAGGAACACCAAAGGGCTCAGACAAGAAAAGCCCCAAGAAGAGCCTGCTAACTCTAGCCAAAAGACCAGGAAAGGGGCAACCAGACAGAAAACTTTTTAGACAGTTAGTGCTTTACTCCAGCCAAATATCACAGAAAACACTGCAGCTTCCACCCTCGCCCTAATGATCAAAGGCGGCATGGGGAATCTAGACTTCCACCCTTGGTAAGCTGTACAGATGCCCATCTCTGGAGGGCCTGTATAAGAGAAGCCTGGATGAGGAGCTGGGGTCTTCATATCTGCTGGGCGACACTGGGGGAGACCTAGGAGGAACTGAGGAATTCTACCTCTATCTAGTGGCAGTGTAGGTCACCCCTCTGTGGTGTCGGGGAGGCTGTTTAGCGAGCCATAACAGGGCTCCCTGATTCAGCCATGTGGGTATCACTGGAGGCCTTTGGAGAGGCCGAACTCTCACTCTGCCCGGCAGTAACAAGGAGTACCTCCTCATGCAGGATTGATGGAGGCTGAACTGGGAACCTTAACTTCCCCTCCACCTTCTGTGTTCACCTGGCAGAAACAGCGCTCTCTTTGCCTGCTGAAGCAGTTTTGGCAGAGGTCTGCTGTAACTAAAGACTTAAATCAGATCCTGAGTCCAATAAGATAATACCCAAAATGTCAAGGTTTCCGTTGAAAGTCACTCATATGAAGAACCACTAAAATGTCCACCTGAATGAGAAGATACAACTGATACCAACAGAGATGACACATGTTAGAATTATCTGGCAAGGATTTTAAAGAATCCATCATAAAATGCTGCAATAAGCAATAATTTATATTTGAAAACAAAATAGGAAGTCTCAGGGAGAAAATACAGGATATAAAGAAGAAACAAATGGAAATTTTAGAAGCGAGAAATACAATAATTGAAATAAAAAACTCAGCGGATGGCTCAACAGCAGAGTGGAGAGGACAGAGAAAAGAATCAATAAACTTGAAGATAGAAATTACCCAATCTGAACAACAGAGAGAACATAGACTGGAAAAAATGAACAGAACCTCAGGGCCTGTGGGACTTTAACAAAAGATTTAACATTTGCATCATCAAAGTTCCAGAAAGAGAGGAGAAAGATGGTGGGACTGAAACAGTATTTGGAGAAATAATGGCTGATTATTTCCTCAATTTGGCAAGCTATAAACCTATAGATAGAAGAAGCTGAGTGAAGACAGGATAACTGTAAAGATGTTAAGACATCATAGTCAAACTTCTGCAAACTAAAGACAAGTAAGTAGTAAGAAACGCTACTTATAGAAGGGAAAACAGTTTGTGGGGATTTTTTTGTTTGTTTGGCAGCTGGCCCTAACAGGGATGTGAACCCTTGACCTTGGTGTTACAAGGCCATGCTCTAACCAACTGAGTTACCTGGCCAGCCCCAGAAAACAACTTGAAATGGCAGCGGCTTTCTCATCAGAGCTCAGGGAGGTCAGGAGGAAATGGCCTAACATTTTTCAGGTGCCAAAGGAAAAGAACAATCAGCTCAGAATTTTGTATCAAGTGGAAACATCCTTCACATGGTTTGTCTCCAACAGACCCACTCTGAAATAACAGGTAAAGAATTTCTCTAAACAGAAAGGAAATGATGACAGGAATGTGGGAACTTCGGGAAGGAAGAGCAAACCATGGAAAGAGCCGCACTGCTGGTACATTCGGTAGATATTCCTTTTCCAACTTGTGTTTGAGTGTTAAAGCACAGCTATCTGATAAAGTCTCAGTGTATGTAGAGGGAGTATTTTAAATGATTATGTTATAAATAGGGAAATGTAAAGGTGTAGAGGAAGGTAAGGTTCCCACATTTTACATGAACTGGTAAAATGTTGATAATCAATAAAATGTGTTAAGTTGTGAACGTATAATGTAATACATAGAGCAGCCACTAAAAAAAAAAGATAAGTCTAAATGAAATTCTAAAAGACATTCAAG